ATTCCCAAAATGTCTCTCCCTCTTTACCCATTCTTTTCATCCTTCTCCCTTCTTTGAAAAGAAAGAGCAATGACTAATCCCATCCTTTCTCCCCTTCTCTGAGACTTTGCTCCATCAAATCTCTCCTTCCCGAATCCTCACTGCTCCCTTTCCATTAGTATACCCAGGCTTTGCTCAACCTAGAGATTTGTTCTTGCTGCTGCTTGCCCAAACTACCATTATATTTGCCATCTTTTTTATTACTTTGAATTTCCCGTCATTTACCCAACCCTTTACAACATGGCTTCCATCCTCACTACCAGTTACACTCTCTGCCGAGTTATGAGTGACCTTCTAGTCTCCAAATACAGGTTCCTTTCTCAGTTATCATTTCCCTTGTTAAGTCTTCAGCATCTCTCACTGTAGTCTACCCCATTGTCCTGGGAGGTTTCCTTCTTATTGACTGCTGTAACCTACACTGTTGACACTGTTGGGGTCCCCATTCTGACACTCAGATGGGACTCTTGATAAGCTCAACTTACTCCTTTGAATCTTACACTATGGTTTCATCCTCAGTTGCATTTCTTAGTCTCTCCTGTCTCGGAGGTTTCCTCCACTCTCATGGCCTCAATCATCCTTTCTACTCAGAATATACCCAAATGTAAATAGTCAGCCCTCTTTCCTAAATGGCCTTTTTTGGCCATTTAACTCAGGGCTACTGTGACAAAGCCTAAAAAAACAAATCATTTGATGCCTAAGCTTTAAAAAATTTAGGAAGCATTGTAATTGTCAGCTTCATCTCACCCGTAACCCCTATCTCATCTCTGCCCTAGACTGTGTCACAATGCCCTGCTTTGATGTCATCATGTCAGAACCTGGAGGTTTAAAAGCAAGTGTCCGCTCTGTCCCCAACCAACTCGCCCTCAGATTTCCTGTTTTTGTCAGTGATACTAATCGCTCAGTCACCCAGCTTTGAAATGCTGCCTTCACCCTCAATTAGCTCTTCCTCTTTTCTCCCACGGCTAATTAGTCACCATTCTTGTTGACTAATCCTTCATAATATTTCCCTTTATCCACTCCATTTCCTTAGCAAATTGTTCGCTACATTCACAAACCATCCCACGGGCCTCTTTCATCAAATCCAGCACTATCTCTTCCTTGAACTCAACTTTTGCCATGTCTAATGACACAAAATATATTGGCAATCATTCAGCATTTGTAAAATGAATGTCAGTCTTCCCAGCTAGATCTTAACTTCCTTAAAAGCGGGAACAGAATTTTATGATCTCTTCATTCCTGGTTTTACTAGATGAATAGATGACCAATAACTGTTTACTGTTGATAATGGCTCGTTTTCTTAGAAATGTTTCTTACAAACTTTCACTTTAAATATCGAACTCTGGAAGGAGATTTAAATAAATCAGTTTACCCAAATTAATTTTGCATGCTTCGGGGAACATTCAACCTATAACCACATAATGTGAGAGAGGCAACTTTTATTATTTTGGAGGAAGCATCAAACTTAGGGTTTGATCTTCTCCCATTAACTCCCATTAACTCACTCCCATAAGACAGATTTCTTAACTTTTAGCTTCTTCATCTGTTATACCTGTTATATAGCTATCCAGTGGAGTTGATTATGAAGTTAAATGTGGTAATGTCTAAAAGTGCTTTTTAACATTTTGCAGAATCTATGTAAATAGATTACCGTGTCACAAAGGACCCAGAATAAACATCCCATTGATGTTGTAAGATGAATCTTTTGTTAACCTCCTCATTAGAAACCCCCAGCAATCTTAATACATTGATCGAAACACCTGTTGTGTAATAACTACACCAAACTACTGTTGTTTAGCCGACAGTCCACGCTCTCTGCCCATAGTTTCTTCTCATAAAGCCCCTGTCTGGTACCTGTCATTCTCAGGCTGTTTGAATAGGTATCCAGAGATTCAGAAGGCTTTTCTAGACAGGTACGCCATTTTTAACAAGTGTTAAGCAATTCAAGTGGGGGTTCACTCGGTAGTAGCAGATTTTATGTTTTCTTTGCCTGAAAACTTCCTGTACAGTCTCCCGTTCCCCTTCACATCATCTCAGAGGTGGGTAAGCCCACTTTCTCTAGCACTAAGGAGTGCCCCCTTTAGCACAAATCGTGCTGTCTTATAATGTATTTGTTTCTAAACGTTTCTGCCATGTGAATCTATGGGTGTCATAAAACAGAAGATTACAACTTATTTGTGCGGGGGGTTTCTTTTTTTAAACAATTCATTAATTTTGATATCCCTGGCACCACCTGGCACAAAGCCTGGCCCTTAGACAAAAGTTCTTGCTCAATAAATACTGAATAAATGAACAAAATGGGGAAGAGGCAACATTGCAGATAATGGTGGTGTTTTTGTCTTTTTATTCTCCACCCTGCCCTTCCCTACATGAAACAGAATAAATGCTAGGAGGTTCCAGTTCCCCAGGCCATTTAGCCCTGCTGGTCTGGACATAGGCCTAGGCTTACTTCCATTTGTTGCTCCAAATCCACTCAACCACAGGGAGCGCTAGGCTTCTGTGGGGACCCCTTCTTCTCCTTCTTCTGTCACCTACCCTCAGAGGCCCGGGGGTGTCTTGTGTCATGTCTTCTAAAAGATCCCTCTTCTCCACCTGAAAGGATTATTACCTTAGTGCTCTGTTCTCAACCAACTCTTCTAAAACAAAAATCATTTGGGGAACACCTTTGTACTTTGTTGTTAATGACAAGTCAATCTTTATTGCATTATCCCCTTTGCAATAAAAAAAAAAGATAAAAAGGATAAATATAAAGATAAAAAGGGTTACTCTAAAGGACTGAATTTCTAATAGTAGAATGTCAGTCAGTGTGACTGGTGATTGGGGCGGGGAGAAGAGAGAGGCTTTAGAGCAGCCTTGCTTTTCCTTTGCCCCTAGAAACCTACTTGTAGAACCAGCCCCACTCAAAGAGAAAAAAGAATCTTTGTTTCACACCAAAACATGCTTGTGATTCTGTCCTCTACTTCCTATGCAAAAGTGTTATAAGAGAAAAAGAACAAATTTTTGCCCCCAGCCAAATGGCAGACTACTGCAATCTTGTGCGTTCATGTCATTGGTGGACCAGGTAGGTGAGGAGTAGGTGGGGATGGATGACAGATCAGCTCAAAAGTAAATTCTCTCTCTAGCTTCAGCTTGCTGCGGGATCCTCAGGCGGGTTTAAAAGAGCCTCCACCCCACCCCTTCAGTCCCTGATTTACTCTCCAGCCAGCCTGGGGGAAGACTGAAGCCAAGGGTTCGTCCTGTGCTCTGCCACACTCCTTATCTCCCCTCTACAGCATCAGAGGGTTGTCACGGGCTATGTGACCTTTTCGATACTGCTCCTTCAGTTAGTTACATACCTGAGTATGACGGGAGCAGTCCCCTGCTATCTTCAACCTGGTCACCTTCATTCTCCTTGAGCAAATGCCTGGTATCCAATTCTGTAAACCAGCTGCGTCTCCGTGCCCTGCACAGGAAGCTGGCAGCGTAAGCAGCTGCCATTTTCATTCGGTTGCAAGATGGGAATTTTGTGTCTTCTTTTTCTGAAAACTTATCGACGTAACATTCTATAAGGACCGTTTGTTGCAACAACATGGTTGGATGACCTTGAGATCATTACTAAGTGAAAAAAAGACAGAGAAAAACAAATATGGTATGATCTCGTTTATAGGTGGAATCTAAAATAGCTGAATTCATAGAAACAGGAGAATGGTGGTTACCAGGCTTAGATGGCGGGGGGCGGGGGGCAGGGGGACCTGGGGAGATGTTGTTGGTCAAAGGGTATGAACTTACAACTAGAAGGTGACTAAATTCTGGAGACCTAATGTACCGCATAGTGATTATGGCTAACAATACTATATTATAAACTTCAAAGTTGCTAAGAGACTTGATCCTCCTAAATGTTCTCACCACAAAAGAAATGATAATTATGTGCTATGACAGAGGTGTTAGTTTAGTGCTCTGGTAGCAGTCATATTACAATATATAAGTATATCCAATCAACATGTCATACACCTTAGACTTGTACCATGTTAGATGTCAATTATATCTTAATTCAAAAAAACATTTGTGACTTGCCTAATTGGAGAATAAATTGGCATACATTCTTCAGCAAGGCTTCTATGCCTTTTTCATAATCTGGTGACTAGAATATTGAAAATACTTACATTATGTATCATATTTGAAGCACCATGGCTTTGTTCTTTTGAACTTAATTTTTTTTGTTTCTAAGTGAAGAGGAAAATAACTAAATGAAGAAATGTGCTGCAGATTTTAAAGCTGTATTCCAGATTTTTAAGTCACAAAAGGTGAACTAATAGATTATGCTGTACAAAATGGTTTAATCCAAATGTCAGCTCCAGGGACTCGTGAGACAGCTACTAACTTTTCAGTGTTGCTTGTTTTGGAGGAGGGCCGTGTCTTTAAAACCTTTGGCATTGGCTGGGTCTCTGAACCCACTGCCATGCTTCTGAAAGTACCACTTCTCCAGAACCTCTGTTTCCATCATTGCTGCCCCTTCTCAGCAGCAGGGACATGTGTATGGACTGAGATACACACCTCTAGGCCACCACTGAGGCATGAAATTTGCCAGCAGGGCACCAAGATGCACTCAGTCAGTGCCATCCACAGGAACAGAACAGGTGCTCCGAGTCCTCTGTACTTTCCGTTTTGTTTCAAAGTCACAGATGGTGTAGCCCAGTGAGACACACTCATAGAGGTACGGTCGTGGGAGATTCAACAGCCTTTTTTTCTCTGTGAATTTATGAACCATCCTCAGGGATGGAAAAGAGTCCTGCGAAGCCAAATACAATGACAGTGAGTGCTCTGGCCAAAGCCCTGTGTCTACTCACTTATGTTTGAGAACCCAAAGGCCAGGTGAGGACGTGCAGCGACCACAGCTTTGCGGAATGAGCCCCACGGCAGCCCCCCAGCGGCACTGCGGGCATTAAGTGTGTCTGGGGGCTGGGGGGGTTGTCTCCTCTCCACAGCTATTGACCTGCTGTACTGGCGGGACATCAAGCAGACCGGGATCGTGTTTGGGAGCTTTCTGCTGTTGCTCTTCTCCCTGACCCAGTTCAGCGTCGTGAGCGTCGTGGCCTACCTGGCCCTTGCCGCGCTCTCCGCCACCATCAGTTTCCGCATCTACAAGTCTGTCTTACAAGCTGTGCAGAAAACCGACGAGGGCCACCCTTTCAAGTGAGTGTCCCTGCCGGACCAGCCCTTGCCCAGCCTCTCACGGGACCCCTGCCCCCTGACTCTGTTTCAGCTCCCGGGCGTTTGGGTGATGCGTTGCTGGGAACCGACAGAACTCTCAGAGTCTCAGAGTCCCTTGAATGCCCAGACTTTTAATAGCTAATATTTCTGGTGAATTTCCAAAACGCCCTCGGTTATCCCTATTGTGACACTTATTGCTGTATTGAGTTTTTCTATTTTCATGACCACGAATGACTTAATATACGTATTTAACATAAGTTTACATATGATATTAATATTTTTATACTTAATTATTACTAATAGCAATCATAATCCATTATATGGGTACAGTGTTTTATAATTTAAGGAGTGGTCAACAGTAAATCCTCCCAACCCTGTGAAGAAGGCAGGGCAGTGTAATCTCTATTTACAGGTGGGAAAACAGATTCTAAGAAGCAAAGTGACTTGCCCAAAGTTACATGGCCAGTAACCAGCGTAGAGTCAGGACTAGGGTGTTTGGATTTTTATATTTATGGTCTCTGGAAGCTTAATACCACAGGGCCAACTTTCTGAGGGGTGCAAGGTTCATGAACAGTCTTATAATGTACGCTTCTCTGCATTTTTATACTGGGGAAATCTGACTGGAATGAACATTGAAAAGGAGGAATTTTGTTTTGTTTCTTTTTTTTTCATTTTATTTAAATTCAATTAATTAACATAGAGTGTATTATTAGTTTCAGAGGTGGAGTTTAGTGATTCATCAGTTGCAAGGGAGGATTTTTTTTAAGGCAATATACTAAAAGGACGAATGAAATGGGGCAGAGCTGTCAGCTGCACGGCACCCACTTCACCCCAAGTTATGTCCCGACTCTGGCTTGGGAGTCCGGGGCATTGCAGCACTGACTGGCAGGTCCACCTGTCCCCCTAGTGCTGGCCCCAGAGTGCGGGCTGCACTACGGGTGGCTTCCGCTCCTGGAACGGAGGGACAGTTCTGACCAGGGTTCCCATCTTCAGAGTCCTCCTCTGCCCCAGCCTCTGCCCTCCGCCATCCAAGGAAGGCTAGTTTCTTTCACATTCTTGGCCCCCAAGACCATCACATTCAATTAGCTCAACTACTTTATCTTCCTTTAGGAGACACAATAAAAAACTTTCCTTTGGTTGAGTTGTTTTTATCAGTAAAAAGAATATCTGACTCAGAGTACATTTTGGATCAAAACTTACTATCTAGACAAATCAGCATTTTTCTGTTTTTTTCCTAAAGAGTATGAAAGCCGTAAGATTTCAGTGTAGACTCTCTAAAATTCAAACCAAAATGCTACTTTACTTTTTTTTCATCTCAATTTACAGAGTTAGGTAAGCACTGTAAGAACTCTAGAAATATCTTCTAGGTAGATGATGTGGTGCTGTCTTAGAACTGGGGGAGGGAAGAAGGAAGGGAAGATGGACCCTCTGTAGGGAGCATGGCCAAACAGGAGGATGGACTATTTGAGGAGCCTGGTTTATCTAACCATAATCACATGTCATCGTTTGAAAAATTGAAAAATGCGGTCACTAAAAATATTGCTCTTAGTAGAAACAGTGAGCTTTTGAATATGGCCCAGGTCACTTGAGTTTTCAGAGCTCTCTACATAAAACCTGGAAGTATTTTCCAAAATTTAAACATGGAATATTAAAGTTTTGATAATGAACAATAATTGGCAGCTAGGATTTTCAGATACCTCAATTATTTAACAAGATAATCCCTCTCCATGCAGCCAAGAAGAAATGAGGACTTTCACAGCTACCTAGTAGGCCAGGGATGTCTGGAGAATTCAGCAAATGAGCTGATTTGGGGCTGACTTTTCTCTGCTTCCAGCCAGTTGCTCTGAATTATCAGCTACTACTGTCATGCTGTCTCAGGGACATAGAAATAGAGTGCACCACTAACAGCCATGATTCCCAGGTTCCCCCGGGCGCTGGCGGTGGGTGTGTGGGGTGCCCTGCAGCCCCCAGAGGTGACCCAGCTCTGTTCAGAGTGGGAGAAGGAAAACTCAGTTGTTTGGAGATTACCTCTGATGGAGCTCTCTGTGGGGATGGCTTCTTGACAGGACCTACTTGGAGCTCGAGATCACCCTTTCTCAGGAGCAGATCCAGAAGTACACAGACTGCCTGCAATTCTATGTGAACAACACGCTTAAAGAACTGAGGAGGCTCTTCCTTGTCCAGGACCTGGTGGATTCCCTAAAAGTACGGTTGCTTATGCCATTCACTTGACAGTCTTTAGTTTCTTTCTCCCTAAAGGTATACTGTAAACCACCACAGACTAGAGAATAAGAAGCAAGTGCTAATTGCATTCTAGAGTGAGAAAACCTCCAGCTCTACAGTCCCGTGGAGCTCATCCAGTCCAATCCCCTCAGAGATGCCAAAACTGTGGCGCAGAGAGCCTAAGACACTTGCCTGAGGTTGCCCAGTGAGTCACTGGCAGAGCCGGGATCAAACCGAGGGCCACACAGCTTCTAATTCTGTACTTTTTACAACACACCAGGTGGTCCATCCTTACCATTTTCAATTCCTCAGCCAATTTCCTAAAATTAATTTAAAAAAAAATCTAGTTTGGGGAATGTGAAAAACGTCTGTGCTTTTTTCATTGAAAGAAACTCTGGACTCTGCTAATGGTGAGACGTGTGAGAGTCCTTACGTAGTGTGGGCTGTGAGACAGAGCGTCTGAAGCAGAGGACCTCAGACACCTAGTGTTACTCCTGGCACTCTCACTGAACTTCCAGGATTCTTCGAACACACTGCTTTTCCCACCCTGCGGTATATGTAGAAACCTGAAGTCAGCAAATCATGAGCCAGCTGGGCCCGAGCGAGGTTGTTATGGGTTTCCCATGCTCCCAGAACGCTTTGTACACGCTGGGACGGGTCTTGTAGCAGGGGTTGCCCAGCGACTTTTGAAGGAAGGGCAGAAGGAAAAGTGAGTAACGGGGCCTGGCCCCTGAAGATGCTTTCCTGGAAGAACATCTTTCCAAGTAATGACTAGAGAGAGATACCAGGGAGATTGTAATTACTTACCCTAGGGCTTTTCAAGTGACGTTTCTATTTGTATGTGTAATGTAAAAAGAATGGGCTAGAGCAGAGGTCAGCAATCTTTATTTGTAAAGGGCTGTATAGTAAATACTTCAGGCTTTGCATGCCTGAATCTCTGTCCCAGCTACTCAGCTTTGCCAACATAGCGGGAAAGCAGCCAAACACAATGCATAAATGAATGACTGCAGCTGTGTGCCAATAAAACTTTATTTATGAACACTGAAAATTGCATTTCATATCATTTTTACATATCACATAATGTTATTTCTTGCTTTGATTTTATTCAGCCATTTAAAAATATAAAATTCATTCTTAACTCACGGGCCCGAAAAAAACAGGCCAAGGGCCAATAGTTTGCTGACCCCTGTCTTATTATTTCATTGAGTCCTTCAAATCTTCTAACAAAGAGATCCAAAGGGTTCTGAGAGGAGTGAAGACTAGATCCTCTTTCAGTAATTCTGCGATGAGAATTTAATGCTTACATTTCCTAGTGAAACCATGGTGTATTTTCCCCCCAATTTTAATCTAAAAAAAGTCAATGAAATAAGACTCTCATCTGTCACGAATGGTTTTAGAAGCTCTGATAATCATTTTGTTCTTCAGTTTGCAGTTCTGATGTGGCTCCTGACTTACGTTGGCGCTCTCTTCAACGGGCTCACCCTGCTGCTCATGGGTAAGGACAGATGAGCATGTTATGTCTTCCTTCACACGCTCTGTCAGCATGGAGCTTCCTAGGCTGTTAGCTGTGAAGTGTGTTGTCATAGGTTCTAGGAACAGATGCCACATAGTACAGGGCATTTCTCTGACCGTCATAGTTCAGTTGGAGAGTATAATATATGTCACACATTAATAATGAATTCCTTAGTCTGAAGTATTTTTTTTTCCCCCTCTTCAAGCACAACTAGGTTTATTTGGTTTCCAGTCAATATCTGTTTGCAACAGGCAGTTATGGACAGAAATTCATTTTTATCATGGGAGGGTTCAGTCCACCCTCATTCCAGGAATAATGGCTTAATATCTGTAAAAGGCTCACCATCCCTTTATTTTCCTTATGGACTGCCCTGCCGTCTTTTAGCTAAAGTGCTAGCTGCTATAAAATAATGCTATAAGATCACATAATTATATAAAAATATATCTAAAAGCTTATTCTCACTGATAACTCTCAGAATTTTAATACTGTATTTGTTTTTCATCCCAGCTGTGGTTTCAATGTTTACTCTACCTGTAGTGTATGTTAAGCACCAGGTAAGTCCTTCATGATGTCAAATATTCACCTTAAATTTTGACCTTGTGACCTTTGGATGTGCTCATGATTTCTTCCTCTTTGTAGGCACAGATTGACCAATATCTGGGACTTGTGAGGACTCACATAAATGCTGTTGTGGCAAAGTAAGTTACATCGAGCGATTCCTAAAAAGGAGAGACTGCCTTAGGCAGGCGTTTGTGGGGATTAGAGAGAGGTAATAAAGGGATAATAAAATAGCAAATTGATTTATGATCATTCACTTATTTGAGTCATGTATTCCACATCTTTCCCAATCATATTACTTCAGAAAATAAGTATACATTTTAAAACTCTCAATTAAATAAAGCTTTCAGTGGTTTACTTTAGGTATCATGATGAATGAGTTTTAATGAGCAAATGACGTTAAGTTCTATCTGGGAACTGACTCATGTCCAAGAACAAGATGGGTTGGAGGAAAGATAAAAATTCCAGTTGTAAGAAGCCACAGCTAACGTGGACGTTAATCTTAGTTTTCCATAACACTTAAATTAGTGTTTGTAAATCTAAATTAAATTAGTAAATTGTATTAAATTGTAAATCTAAATTAAATTAGTGTTTGTAAATCCATCTAAAATGATAGTTTTTATGTTATTTTATTAACAATTTTATTTTCATCAAAAGCTGACCTAGGCTCCCACTGGAAATACATGCCATCAAAGGGCTAGACTTGTTGACACAAACTCCCTCTCATAATCTTAGAATCACGTGGCTAGACCTGGGTGGTGATCAGAATTAGAAGGAAGTATTTTAGACAGCCAAAGATGTGTAAAACAAAACAAAAACAAAACAACCGCTTTAAAGTTCTTCTGGTATTTGATTTGCATATCATCAGTTATGGTTCTCTCCTAAAGTATATAAAGGTTTTTGGTTTTTACTGTGTACTCTTCATATTCTTCCTCTTAAATTCATGGTGAGCTTGGATCTAGATCAGATCTACAGCACATTTAAAAATGCCTGAAATTATCACCTTGGACCCGAATGCAACTAAGACCTAATGAAAATCAACAAATTGAAGCTAAAGTATTGGTTATTTTGTAGTAAGAAACGGCAGCATGGTTAGTATGAAAGTTGGTGGTGCCAGAACCTGGGGAAACTGGTAAAGACCTCAGTTCCCAGATTCCTAAAATAGACCTATAGAATTAGAATTTCTAGGATTGGGGACCTGGAAACTATACTTTAATGAACTCCCCAGGTGACTTTTTGGCAATAGAGCTGTGTTTTGGGGGGAACTAGAGCGACAGCAAAACACCAGAATAGGAGCTTAGAAACTAGAAGATAAAAATTCTAGTCCTAAGTTGTCCAATACTTCATTTGGGGATCTTGAACAAATCACATCTATTAATTTTTTATTTCATTGATTGATCAGTTGGTTCCAAAAAGAGCCATACCTGTGATGTCCCAGGTCTTGCATGTAACAGGCCCAGAGGGTATAAAGGTGAATGGGATGACCCCCACCCTAGTGCAGCTCTCAGCCTCACGGTGCAGACAAAACTGTAAAGAAATAAGTATAAGCCGATAGAAGAATTGCAGTGGAGTTGTATAAAATGGGAATGTCAGGGAGGTAAGGAAATAACTGTTCCTGCCTGAGGGGATAATGGAAATGACACTAAATCCTCACTAAAATGAAAGCCTTTGTCTTACTTAGCTCAGCCCCTATAACACAGTGCCATAGACTGGGTGGCTTATAAGCAACACCAATTTATTTCTCGCAGTTCTGGACCCTGGAGGTCCAAGATCAGAGTGCCCACATGGTCAGGCTCTGGCCAGGACCTTCTTCCAGCTTACAGACTTCTCGCTGTGTCCTCACGTGGTAGAAGTGGAAGGGAGCTCTCTGGGGTCTCTTTTACTGGACATTAATCCTATTCATGAAGGCTCCACCCTCATGACCTAATCACCTCCAAAAGGCCTCACCTCCTAATACCAAAACATTGGGGGTTAAGTTTCAACGTATGAATTTGGGACGGGAGAACACAAACATTCCGTCTATAGCGACCCTGAAGGATGGCTGAACATTCACCAGGTGGGTGATGAGGGGAAAGACATTGCAGGAAGAAGAAAGAAAGTGTAGGTCATGTAGGAAACAGTGAGTCAACCATTGTGTCTAAAGCTTAAATGAGTAGAAAGATCAACTGGAAAGAGTCTAGGAAAAGAGGCTGAGGTCAAGTGTCAAATGCTCTAAGGAGTGACTCTGCCCCAACGGGAAATGGCCAGCACCTACTGTTTTTATGCCAGGGTGATGTAATCAGAGCTGTGTTTTGCACAGATCATGATGACAATCTAATGGGAGGAGAGTTGAACTGGGGAGTGGAGACATGGCGATCAGATTGGCTAGGAGGTGATCATAATTCACAGAAAGTGATAAGGGTCTAGGCCCGTTAAAATGGAGAGAAAGGAGAGAAGACAACGAACACACAGTGTATGAACATACATGTATAATGCAATTGTTAAATTAAAATTGGCAGTCAGGACTGTGAAAAGGAAAAGAAAGAAAACATTATCCATGAGAACTATCATGGTTTCTGTAATTGAGCTTTATTCAGATTTGGCTCTGAGCTTCTCAGTAGCTAGAGCAAAAAGAGAAACTAGTTAGGTTACACAGGTCTCATTATCAGAAAGGAGGAAACAGAAGTTCTTCTTCAAGAGAACCTGTTTTGCCTGACACTAAATTTTGAAGGAAATTTCTTGGTGGGATCTTACCTCTAAAGCCTCCTTCGCCTCTGAAATTCTGACTCCATGTTAGAATAATTCCCAGCACGGGAACTCACATCATTTTAATGAAACACTTAAGAACATGATCTTTGGAATCAGGCTAGTTTGAGTGCATTTCTGGCATTTTCACCTATATGAGTTCATCATAAATGTTATTTGACTCTGTGAACCTGTTTCCTTATCTGCACACTGGGAATGTTAATAACTCTTAAGGTTGTTGGGGAGTAAATGAGGTAATGTCTGTCAAGTACTCTGACTTGGGCATAAGACACTCTCAGTAAATACTAGGCATCATCATCATCATCCTCATCATCCTGCTATTACTGCCTAGAGATCGGTTGAAGAGGAATGTAGAGGACAGTCCTAGACCAGGACAGGAAGAGCTCAGTACCACTACCTTCTCTAATGCAGAGTAGATAGATGGAGCCTGTCCCAGTCATTTCTGGGTCTCAGTTTGACACACGGAAATGGGTCTCTATTGCTGCCTAGAAATGTGTTCGTAGACACTCCTACTTTGCTATTGTATCTTTTGGAATATTAAACTATTTGGTCAGCTAGGCAGTTAAAGCAACAACACACACTGAAGTCACAGAATGATTTCCTTAATGACACTTGTGACTTACCGTTTTTTGATATTATCTTTTTTCAGGATTCAGGCTAAAATCCCAGGCGCTAAAAGGCATGCTGAGTAAATCGATATCCCCCCGGGGACTGGACACGAACCAGAATGTCTGGAGTGGTAACAGCTCTGTTCTTACATGTTACTGCAAATTGATTGTTTCTCCCCCCACTACCATCATCTTAGAGACAAACTTTCAACAGCTGTTTTCAGGCTGTTGCTAGAAAACAGCTGTACTCTTAGGATATTTGAGTCACTTGTGTCAAGCACTAAAGTATAGAGAAAAGTGTATTAGATGTGGTTTTAATTTTGTGTTGCTAAAAAAAAAAAAAGTGCATGATGGTGAGAGCCCAACTTATTTTTTCTTCTTCGGTGTTCTCTTCCTCCTCTCTGCAATGCTTTTGTAGCTTCTAATGTCCCCCGTGGCTAGGCCTTTCCTGCCAAGTGCCCCGATGCAGTAGTGGAAACCGCTTACATGTCCTTGGGTTGCTGGTTGGATTCATCTTTAATAACAATATATAGAATTGTAGACTGATGTTTTAGTGTTTTTCCAACACACAACATAAAAACAGTCGACCGTACTTCTGGTAATCAGTTTTGTATAACTTAAAATAATTAAATAAATGAATAACCCCTCCCCCCGCCCCAAAAAAACCATGCAGTACTTTTGTTGTGTGGGACTGACAGGCTGATTTACATGTATGGTAAAAAGTACCAGCATGTTAACTTTATTACAATTTGTATTACTTTCTCTGTAGTTCCTGATGGACCTAATTATGGACTCTGGATATTTGCACTTATGTACTTGATACTGAATGCATAAATAAATGTTACTAAATGTAAAACCTTCTCCCTCTCTTCTTGTGGGATGGCCAGAAAATGCAAAATTTCTAAGAGACAGTCTTGCGAGGACAGGCTGGGAAGCCTGAGACCAAGAGCTCACTTTGTTCCTGTCTCCAGGACCAGAGGGTCCAGTCCCAACTTGGTATATGCTCCTGTGGGTTATTGATGGACGTCACTGAAAAGTAGTAAAACTGGGGTTGATGCAGATATTTTAAGTAGTTTTTTAAAAACTTGAAAGTGATATAAATCCTTCCATAAACTTCTTTTTTAAATTTTTTTATATTTTATTTATTTTTTTATTATTTTTATTTTTTAAATTAAAATATAACGTACTATTTGTTTCAGGGGTACATATCTGTGATTCATCAGTCTTACACAACACCCAGCACTCACCACAACACATACCCTCCCCAATGTCCATCACCAGCCACCCCATCTCCTCATCCCCCCTCCCCTCCAGCAGCCCTGTTTATTCCCTAAGATTAAGAGTCTCTTATGGTTTGTCTCCTCTGATTTCATCTTGTTTCATTTTTTCCTCTCTTCCCCTATGATCCTCTGCCTTGTTTCTTAAATTCCGCATATCAGTGAGATCATATGATAATTGTCTTTCTCTGATTGACTTATTTCACTTAGCATAATACCCTCTAGTCCCATCCATGTCGTTGCAAATGGCAAGATTTCAAATTTTTGATGGCTGCATAATATTCCATTGTATACATATACCACATCTTTATCCATTCATCTGTCGATGGACATCTGGGCTCTTTCTATGGTTTGGCTGTTGTGGACATTGCTGCTATAAACTTCTTATAATAATATGCAACAATTTATTTGCTATGAAGTCACTCTTTTGGTAATTCTTTCTTGAGCACCTAGTGTGCCAAGCACTGTGAATAGGGCTAGGAATAAGAGAGATGACACTTCCTGCCATCACTGAGACAAATCTTCTAAGGATTGCTTGCTGCTCTTCATAAAAATCCAATTGCCTATTTCATTTCACTGTTGGGGTCAAAAGTCGAAGATGATGAAGTTGAAGTAGAATAAGAGTAGCAGGAGTGAAAAGGGACAGTAACTTACAAAAAGTGGCCTTTGACCCGTTTCACACTTGGGCTTAGCAAGCACTCATGGAGGTCCCCTTCCATGCCGAGTGGTATGACGACCACAGGGGCAACTGGATGCTGTGCCAACAGCCAAGATGGGGGCCGATGGGAGGGGACTATGTGGAAATGCGAACTAAATAAAAGGCAGCATGAAGTAAGAGCTGTCTTCCAAGATTAGAACAACAGAGAAGGATTCTCAGAGGAGGTGAACTTTGCAGCTGGGTCCTGGTATGGATTTTTCCAGATGGAGAAGGTGGTTCATCCCAGTTTGGAGAAAGAACATGACCTAAGATGCTGAGGCATGGAAGTGCATGGCATACGCAGGGAACGGTGCGTGACAAGCTGAATTGGGGTGTGAGGTGCTTGGGGTGAGGTTGTAGTGCCAGGTGAGGCTGAAAAGCTGGGTCGAGACAACTAGGAAGAAACTTGAATGCTAAGGGGTTTGAGCTCTGTTTTTTAGATCTTAAGAGAGTCACATAAACACACTGAGGGATGCAGGATACTGGAGAGTAGAAGACTGTAGCATAACTAACACCAAACGGGTGACAAATGGGTAGGCCTTTGCTAAAGCAGCTACAGGGAGAATATAAGGGAAATATTCACCTGTCCTTCATCCTTTCTCTTAGCCCAACACGCCAAGACCTGCTGTGCCCAGAGGAGCCACTAGGAGATGATGTGGAGGGAGATGGGACTGGAGTTGGTGATTGACTAGATGTGGGGTTTCAAGACCAAAGCTGACCCTGAGTTGGTACCTCCTCATTTTTCACACCCAGGCAGCTTTCTCACCTCACCCTAGCCCCAGCTCTGTCTAAGAGTAGCTGTTCAGGAGAATGCAACGCCATTTTTGAGGAGAGAAAGCCCAGAAGACCTGGCGTGGGGAAGGAAAATAATAAGCTGGGTTGGTTGGGTGCGCCTGCCATTTTTTATGGTTACTAGATACAGAAGAGGATCCTTTTTTCCATGTGTGCTTTCCAATCTCCAACCTTTGGGATCACGCTTCTTGTAAATAGCTTCATTGTGTCAAATTAACCTTCCTCCCTATCTGCATTTGCAGCGTTTTCCTCCCTCCTGTTGGCCCAGAATTCCTTTCAAATGCAGCTGCTCATTAGGAGGATCTAAGGAGGCATCCCATTTGCTGGCAGTGGTGGAGAACGTTTCCTGAAGGGACTCCTGCCTTTACAAAATGATAGGTGTGGACATAGAATTTTACCAAATGGAACACGGGGCACAGAATATGGGCCACAATGATATTCGAGGTGACGGATACAACATGAGGGCCCGATGAACAGGTACGAAGAGGACCAAGAACAGAATCTCCCAGGGACCCAGAGTGAGTGGGGTTATCCTGAAAGCTGTGAATAGTACGAATTTGTCTAGCCCATGGATGGGCTAACCCACCAGAGGGTGGGTAGATACAAAAGCTGTGATACGCTTTATGGATCATTTTAGGAATAAAAGAGGTAGGATAGTTCATACATTCATACTTTTCCCACCTATGTTAGTTTCCTGGGGTTGCCCTAGCAAAATGTCAAAAGCCAGATGACTTAACACAACAGAAACTTACTCTCTCCCAGTTCTGGAGCCTAGAAGTCTGAAAGGAAGGTGTTGTCAGAGCCATGTTCTCTCTGATGGCTATAGGGGTGAATGCTTCCTTACCTCTTCTGGCTTCTGGTGGTTGCCAGCAATGTGTGGTGCTCTTTGGCTAGTAGATGCCTCACTCACTCCAGGCACATGGCCATCTCCTCCCTGTGTCTTCACATGGCCTTCCCTCTGTATCCAGATTTCCTCCTTTTATAAGGATAGCAGTCATATTGGATTAGGGCCCACCCTCATGACCTCACTTTAATTTGATGGTCTCTGTAAAGGACCCTATTTCCAAATAAGGTCACATTCTGAGGTACTGGGGTTTGGGACTTCAGCATATCTTTTTAGCAGGACACAATTCAACCCATAACACCATCCCAGGCCTCACACTGGCCTTTATGCCATTGTTGTTTTTTTTTTTAAGATTTTATTTATTTATTTGAGAGAGAGAGAGCACGAGAGGGAAGAGGGTCAGAGGGAGAAGCAGACTCCCTGCCGAGCAGGGAACCCGATGTGGGACTCGATCCCAGGACTCCAGGATCATGACCTGAGCCGAAGGCAGTCACTTAACCAACTGAGCCACCCAGGCGCCCTGGCCTTTATGCCATTGTGTGGACTTTCCCCCCTGTGCAGAGCCTGGGCCCGTTTCTCCGGTTGTTCTCCACTATGGAATTGCTGCTGAGAAGTGGAACGTCTCCTCCCTTACTCAAATGTACTTGAGTATGGCTGAGTGCTGGGCCTCGCTTCACTACTACAATCACCACACTGTCCTTGAATAGAGCAGCTCCCAACACCCCAACTTTAGCATTCTCATCAGAGTATGGAGAAGCAGGTAGGGGACGCAAAAGAGCCACCATTGATGTTTGGGTGTTAGCCAATGTAGTAGTGGTTTAGTGCTCTGCTGATCTAGGCAAAAGGGCCATTTGCTTTCAGACTCCAACCTGCCTCTCTACTGGTTTATATTGGCACCATCTTGAAGCTCCTAAAAATGATTTTTTTCTTTTTGATTTTTCTTTAGTTCAATACACATTCAATATCACAGACTTAGTTTGGCTGGCCACTTTTTCCTTGATGAATAAATTGAAATGAATTATTTTGTATCCTGGGCCACAAGATTCCTTCTAAAGGAATTCTGCCGGAATGAGCTCTTCCTGGTTGTTAACCAGGGTTTTTCAAGTAGAAATTAAAGGACAGTGCACAGCAACACAAGAGGCTAAATTATGAAACTCGTTGATAAACTAGATTTTAAGTCAATGTCAAAAACTGTATTTAGAGACAAAGAAGGTCATTATATAATGACAAAAGTGTCAATTCAATGGGACATATATCAATTGTAAAAATATATGCATCCAACATCAGAATACCTAAGTATGTAAGACAAATATTGACAGATCTGAAAGTAGAAACTGACAGCAAACAATAATAGTAGGAGACTTCAACACCCCACATTCAACAATGGACAGAACACCCAGACAGAAAGGTCAAAAGAAACAATGCTATAGACCAAATAGACCTAACAGACATACTCAGAACTTTTCACCCAACAGCAGAAGAATGCACAATCTTCTCAAGTGCACACAGAACATTCTCCATGATAGATCACATGTTAGCTGACAAAACAAGTCTTAACAAATTTAAGAAGATAAAAGTTATACCATGTATTATTTCTGACCATAGTGGAATAAAACTAGAAATCAATAAAAGCAAGAAAATAGGAAAATTCACAAATATGTGGAAAATAAATAATACACTCTTGAACAATCACTGAGTCAAAAGGAAGTCAAAAGTGAATTTAAAAGATATTTAAGACAAATGAAAACAAACCCACAAATTACCAAATACAGCAAAAGCAGTTTAAGGGAAGTCTATAGAGATAGATGCCTTCATTAAAAAAAGAAGAAAGATCTGAAATAAACAACCTAACTTTATACCTTTAAGAACTAGAAAAGAAGAATTAAACTAAACCCAAAGTTAGCAGAGGGTAGGAAATAATAAAGATCAGGGCAGAAATAAATCAAATAGAAAATAGAAAAGCAATAGAAAAAAACAACGAAACTATGAGTTTGTTATTTGAAAAATTACACAAAATTGACAAACTCTTACCTAGACTAAGAAAAAAAGAAAACTCAAAAATGAAAGAAGATACATTATAACAGATGTTCCAGAAATAAAAAGGATCATAAAGGACTATTTTTTTAAGATTTATTTATTTGAGAGAGAGAAAGAGAGCATGAGCAGGAAGAGAGGCAAAGGGAGAGGAAGAGAGAGAATCCTCAAGCAGACTCCCCGCTGAGCACAGAGCCCAACACTGGTCTGGA